TCCCTGTGTGTGTATCTCTCCCTCTCTCTCTCCCTATGTGTGTGTGTATCTCTCCCTCTCTCTATGTGTGTGTGTATCTCTCCCTCTCTCTCTCCCTATGTGTGTGTGTCTCTCCCTCTCTCTCTCCCTATGTGTGTGTGTCTCTCCCTCTCTCTCCCTGTGAGTGTGTGTCTCTCCCTCTATCTCTCCCTGTGTGTGTGTGTGTCTCTCCCTCTCTCTCTCCCTGTGTTTGTGTGTCTCTCCCTCTCTCTTTCCACTCATGGCATGTTTTGCTCTCTCTCTCCGTATCGTGTGCATCCATATCTCTCTAACCACCACTGTCATCTGTCTGTCTCTCTCTATCCCCTCCTGTGTGTGTCCCACATCTCTCGTCTCTCCCTATCAAACACATTCTCATGTCGTCTTGTTGGAGGGTAAGTACTTACGGAGCGCCGTGCTGTCGGAGGGTCAGTGCTGAGGGAGCGCCGCGCTGTCAGAGGGTCAGTGCTGAGGGAACACCGCATTGTCAGAGGGTCAGTGCTGAGGGAGCGCCACACTGTCGGAGGGTCAGTGCTGAGGGAGCGCCGCACTGTCCGAGGATCAGTGCTGAGGGAGCGCCGCACTGTCGGAGGGTCAGTGCTGAGGGAATGCCGCACTGTCGGAGGGTCAGTGCTGACGGAGCGCCGCACTGTCGGAGGGTCAGTGCTGAGGGAGTGCCGCACTGTCCGAGGATCAGTGCTGAGGGAGCGCTGCACTGTCGGAGGGTCAGTGCTGAGGGAGTGCCGCACTGTCGGAGGGTCAGTGCTGAGGGAGTGGCGCACTGTCGGAGGGTCAGTACTGAGGGAGTGGCGCACTGTCGGAGGGTCAGTGCTGAGGGAGCGCCGCACTGTCGGAGGGTCAGTGCTGAGGGAACGCCGCACTGTCGGAGGGTCAGTGCTGAGGGAGTGCTGCACTGTCGGAGGGTCAGTGCTGAGGGAGCGTTGCACTGTTGGAGGGTCGGTACTGAGGGAGTGCTGCACTGTCGGAGGGTCAATGCTGAGGGAGTGCCGCACTGTCGGAGGGTCAGTGCTGAAGGAGTGCCGTACTGTCGGAGGGAATTCTCTCCACTACCCTGGTCAGTATTTATCCCTCAGTCAACATCAGAAAAAAAATGACGGTCTGGGCATGATCACATTTGCTATTTGTGGCAACTTGCTGTGCGCTAAATGGCTGCCACAATGATCACATGACAGCAATGACCACAGCTCAATGGCAGGAAAGCACCTGGGGGGGAGGTCTTGATAATATGAAAGGAGCAATAGAAACACACGTTTCTGTTCGCCTCACGGTTTCGGTACACTACCCTCGAGGTTCTATACCTGAGTGAGCCAGGCCCGGTTCCCCACAGCTCGCCTGATATCCGGGCCCTCAGCAAGACCGAGGTGACCGGGGTGGAGGGTACTTACTATCTGGCTGCACCTTCCGTAGCTGCACGCTCTGCGATGCAATGGCGGCCGCAGTCACTCGGAAGTTGGCCGGCAGCGTTTCCGATGTGTCCGAGGTCATGTCTCGCATCTCCTTTGCCCGAAACCGCTTGCGCCACGAGGGCGCCCGACTGAAGTTCTTGGTGTTGTCCTGGAAAAGGGAAGGAGTCGGGAAGGATGTTAAGGATTCATCGTTCAGGAGGAGGACATTCAGCCCATTGCCACAGCATTAGAAATGGAAGTCCCCTTAAGGGTCAACCAGGAGCTCCCCAAAGTTGATTGAGAGGACGTGACACTCATTGAACTGGGGTTTTAGAGCAGCATTCTTATTTAGTCCCCTCCGTCTCTCCCTAAATACCCCCCCTTCGCCTTTTGATGTTAGCGTTGCCCTTAACAGACTTTTTGTTTATTTTGCGGTGCTGCAGGGTCTGTGGGCCATGTCTGTATTAGTTGTTGGCAAATGCACTGCCTTTTTAGTCATTTGAAAATCCTTTTGCTGTGTTTTTGGTTACACTTCAGCTGGCATGGTGGCTCAGTGGTTAGCACTGTTGCCTCACAGCACCAGGGACCTGGGTTCAATTCCACCCTTGGGTGACTGTCTGTGTGAAATTTGCACATTCTCCCCATGTCTGCATGGATTTGCTCTGGTTTCCTCCCACAATCCAAAGATATGCAGGCTAGGTGGATTGGCCATGCTAAATTGCCCGTAGTGGTCAGGGATGTGTGGGTTATAGGGGAATGGGTCTGGGAGGGATGCTCCAAGGGTTGGTGTGGACTTGTTGGGCCAAAGGGCCTGTTTCCACACTGTAGGGATTCTATGATCTTTACACGTTACAATTATGCCCACAAGTCCTTGGGGCATGCAATGTGCATCGATGCCTTTAGAGAGAGGTGGGCACCACGGGGCATACATTGCTTTATCCCCGCCTCTGGGTCCATTCTGATTTAGCCCCCTTCCTTCTTTCCCTACCTCCACCCTCTGCACCTCACTTTTGATGGTTTGGTATAGCCCATAACGGGCTTTGCTTGTAAATATTGAATTGGCTGTGTTGGTGGTGGTTAGTACTTTAAAAAAAAGGGGGTGGGGAAGTCACGGTGATTTTGGTGGTGGGGAAGCTGCTTAGTTGTGTGTGAGAGCACTTACAGGTACAAAGGAAATGGCAGATCACAGATTGGAGTGTTCCGTGGACTCCTAGGTCAACTGTTTATTTTGCAGCGCTGTTGAATCCATGGACAATGGATATACTGCCTGTGGGCATTTCCACCCCCTTTTTAGTTACTTGTTGTATTTTTGGTTGCATTTCAGCTCCTGATCTATAGCCATCCAGCGGAGTCAGGGTGGACAGATTGGGAGGGCCTTCTGGTGGGTCTGCTCCTGGGCCTGGGCCTGGGCCTGGCCAGCCTAGCTCTACACAGTCCAGGCTGCAGGCTATGGAAGGCGCTCATCTCTGCCCGAGTGCCTGACCCTCTTCCGCAGTTACGTTCGTACCCAGGCGTCCTTTGGGAGAGAGTGTCCATTAATGCTCTCGACGCTTTTAGAGAGAGAGGTGGGCACCCCAGGAGAGGTGGGAATTTATTATTTCCATCCCATCCCCCCAACCACCCCCCAACTCGACCTCCATTTATTCCCTCCCTTGTTTCCTCTCCTTTTTGTTTTTTTTGCTTCACTGTGACGCTGCCCCTGGTGGGCAGCAAGTGTTTGATCATCATGCATTGGGTAATTTAATAACTTGGCGATGGGTGTTTGAAATAAAGAAAAATGAACTGGACTGCTCCTGGGAGGAGTGGCTTCAGGACAGAGAAACAATCAGAAGAGTAAGGTGGAAACTGATGTTTATGCCAAGTTATGTATTTATAATGACACCCTTGCAAATCTCTTGTGCAGTCTTGCGTATATATGTGTGTGTTTGTGTGTGTATCTGTGTGTGTGTGTGTATCTGTGTGTGTGTTTGTGTATGTGTCTGTGTGTACGCACACACGTGCTTCATCATCATATTCTAGCTGCTTTCCTGTTTGCGTATGGTCTACTATTTGTTAAACAGTTGAGGCTATCCCACCATTGGATGCAATCATGCCCTCCCTGTACCTTACCTCCATTGCTTTACCTTGTCTTCATATCCCTTGTTTAGTTTTGCGATCGCATAGACCATGCTGAGATCACAGCTGGAGTTCCATGTACTGCTCTGGTCTCCTTACCCCAGGAAGCAGAGGCCTCTTGTGAAGAGCTACAATAAAGGGCTTGTAGGCCTCATTCCTGGGTTGAGGGTTTGTCCTATGAGGACAAGCTGAGAATAAACTAAACTCCCCGCTGTTTAGAATGAGGTGATCTCATTGAAAGATGTGAAATGTTCTGAGGGCTCAACGGCAAACAGGAAAGCAGCCAGAATGTGAAGATGAAGCACGCGTGTGTATACACACAGACACAGACACACACACAGACAGATAGACACAGACACAGATACATGCAGACACATAGAGACACACACAGACAGACACACACACATATAGACACACACAGGCGTACACATACAAACACACACAGGCATACACATACATACAGACATACACAAACACTCACAGATAGACACACACAGACATATACACAGACAGACACACACACAGACACACATACATATAGACACACACAGGCGTACACATACATACAGACATCAGAAACACTCACATACAGACACACACACACACACACAGAAACACCGATAGACACACACATACACAGGCAGATACACAGACACACATATACACACGAACACACACAGACCGGGCTACAGACATCGAGTTACAGACAAACACTCCAGTTGGGAGTAGGCCATTCAGCCCCTCAAGTCTGCTTTGTTATTCTATAAAATCATGACCAATTTCATCGTAACCTCAACTTCACATTCCTACCCTTTCACTCCCTTGTTTAACAAGAATATATTGAGGTCTGCCTTAAAAAACTTTTCTAGGGCTCTTTTCCTGAACAAGGGTACAAGCTGAGTTCGAAAGACGCAGGCGGAAAATTTTGCCTCCTCTCTGTTTTAAGCGTGAGTTCCCTGATTTTTAAACAGTGATCTATTGTTAAGAATTGTCCCACCAGAGGAAACATCCATTCTCCATCCATTCAGTCAAGACCCTTCAGGATCTTATCTGTTTCAATCAAGTCACCTCTTACTCTTCTAAACTTCATCAGGTATAAACCCAGCCTGCTCAACCTCTCCTCATGAGACAACCTGCCCACTCCAAATGTTAATTAGCAAATCTTCTCTGAGCTGCCACCAGCTAAATAAGGTGACCAATACTGTAGATAATATTCCAGATGTGGTCTCAACAGTCCACTGTATATCTGAAGCATAGCTTCCCAGTTTTGTATTCAAATCCCCTCACAGTCAATTTTAACATTTAGCATCTTCTATACCTTAATTAGATCTCCTCTTGTTATTCTAAATCCACAGCCCTACAATCTCTCACTAGATAATATGCTTCCTTTGTTGTTCTTTTTGAAAAAAAATGGACAAATTAACATTTTCTCGGACTATGCTCCATTTTGTCACATCTTTGCCCGCTTACTTAACCTAAAAATAGTTATTTTGTAATCTTGTTGGGTCCTCTCCCCAACTTAATTAGGCTTTAAGAGCCCTCTTTTCCTGTTTGTGTTCTCTCTGGTATCCTTCCTCCCCTCTGTTCACCAACTCAATGGTCAACATTGCTTAGAAAAGTGGTTAAAAAAAAATGTACATGATCCAGGGCTTGACTTTAAAAAAAAAGGCACGTGGCACAAAAGCAAGGGAGTTATGGTAAAGGTACATTGATGGGGGAGGTAATGGCCTAGTGGTATTATTGCTAGACTGTTAATCCAGAGACCTGGATAATGTCTGGGCACCTGGGTTCGAATCCTGCCACGGCACATGGTGGAGTTTGAATTCAATAAATATCTAGAATTGACAATCTAATGATGACCACGAATCCATTGTCAATTATCAGGATAAACCCATCTGGTTCATTAATGTCCTCTCGGGAAGGAAACTGCTGGCCTACATGTGACTCCAGACCCACAGCAATGTGGTTGACTTTGAACTGCCCTCTAGGCAATTAGGGATGGACAATAAATGCTGCCTGGCCAGCGACGCCCTTGTCCCGTGAATGAATGAATAAAGAAAAAAAAACCTTCAGCTCAGCCTGAACAGGAGCATTTTGTGTAGTTCTAGACACTGCATTTCAGGGAAGATAGGAAAGTATTAAGAAGGACGTGGAAAAGATTCACTGGGATAGATCTGCCAATGAGGAACTTCAGTTGGGAGGATAGACTGGAAAAAGGTGGAGCTGCTTTGGAGACAAGCAAGTGGGGAGGAAATTGCTGGAGTCAAGGTGATGGGCAAAACATGCAACTTTGGCAGGAGGAAGCGGTTTTAATGCAGTAAGCGGTTAGGATCTGGGGCGCACTGGCTCAGATTGCAGTGCAGGCAGATTCAGCCATAGCTTTCAAACGGGAGTTGGACAATCATCTGGAGATTTGCAGAGATTTGGAGGAAAGGTAGATCTGGGGCTAGCTGAGCCGCTCTTGCAGAGAATCAGCAGCAGTCACGAGGGGCCAAATGGCCTCTCCCTGGGCCATCACCGTTCTCCGATTACTAACTGGCAGCATGTGGGAGAGCAGCTGAGTTCACACCAACCTCCTCATGGCGTCGATCAGTTCCTTGAAGCAGCAGGTTTTTGAATTCATTTTCCAATATCTGACGTGCCTATCAGACAAATAACAAAGTCATTAGCGTCTCAGAGTGAGTAGATGTGATGCTACACTTGGTGGAACTGCCACAAAAAATCATCAAGGCTACAGGAAATATCAATCTGTCTACTGCCTCCCTCCAGTCCCAATAAATATGTGACGAAGGCAAATTCCTACGAGGTATCAACAGTCAGTGGTTTACCATTAGCCAGAATCTGAACCAGGACCAGCCGTATATAAACACAGTGGCTACAAGAGCTAGAGAGATAGTATGAACTGCAGATGCTGGA